TCCTAAGGTTCAGAGTGGTTAAATACTTGGTTGTTTCATAAAGTCATCCTTAAGGTGATTAATTCGATACCTTAAAATTCTACAATTTGTACTTTTAGTTAAGTTTTTTTTTTTTTAAGTTTTTTTAATGCTTGCAATATCTGGGGTATAGACCAGAGGTACGGGAGTGAGAGGATTCACCAGAGACAGAGTGAGGAGTAGAACAGGCAGATCTATTGAAATAAACTGCTGAGGGGAGCAGCAGGCAAGATAGGAGAGGTCTTCTACATCATGTGGGTCAGCTCCCTGGCCAGGGATCAGACTGCAGTGGCTGGCAATAGCTTGATAATGCTGAGACTTTAATCCCTGTGCCACCAGGAGGCCCCCTTAGTTGATTTTTTTTAAAAAGATTTATTTATTTGTGCATACAGAACTGGGGTGCAGGCCAGAGGTTCAGGGGCGGTGAGAGGCTTCACCAGAGACAGAGTGGGGAACAGAACAGGCAGATCGACAAAGTACACTGCTGAGGGGAGCAGTGGGCTGGTCAGGAGAGGTTTGCCACGCCATGTGGTCTCCTCCAGGGCAGGCAGGAATCGAACTCATGCGGAAGCGGCTTTAGATTCTCAGTGCTGTGCTCTAACCCACTGTACACCAGGGAGGGCCCTTAGTTGATTTTTAATTAAAAATTTGCTTTGAGATAATTGGAAAGACAATCAAGTTATAAGAAGTCACACAGAGTTCCATGTGCATTATGCTCAGTTTCCCCTAAGATAACATCTTATAAAACTATATTACCAGTATCACAATCAGGATGTTGGAGGTGACATAGTCAAGTAAGGAACATTTACACCCCTAGTCCACATGCTTTTATAGTCACACAAATTTCTTGTCCTTACCCCTTCTATCTGTGCCTCCTGGAGCCACAATCTATTCTTAGTTTCTACAGTTTTGTCACTTCAAAAACATGCATGAATTAATCATACAATATAATCTCTTTTGGAGTTGAGTTTCTTTTTTCACTCAGCAGGTTGTTAATCAAGTTGTTTGTCAATAGATTATTCCTTTTTATTATTGAGTAGTATTCTACAATCTTAACATACCACAATTGGTTTAACCATTCCTCTGCTGAAGATCATCTGGGCTTCTTCCAGTTTGAGGCTATTACTAATAAAACTCCCAAAAAGTTCATGTATAATTTTGTTTCTATATAATGGCAATACATGCAGGTTTAAAAATATATTAGTAATCAATACAGGTTTTTATGTGAACACAGGTCTTTATTTCTCTGGGATAAATGCCATAGCATATAACTGCTAGGTTACAGGATGTGCACATGTTTAGTTTTTAAAAGTCTGCTCAATTATTATGCAGAATGACTAATACCATTTTACATTCCTACCAGCAATGTATGAGAGAGCCATTTTCTACCCACTCTCTTCAGCATTTGCTGTTAGCCTGAAATCAGGTAGATTGGATTGCTATGCCCATTTCTACAATCATAAGGTTTTGTGATGATTAAGTGAGTGCTTGGTATTTCAACCTTACCATTAGAATACTTCATTTGTAGAACGCACAAAATGAAGAATGATGTAAAAAAAAAAAAAAAAGAATGCTCCGTTTGTTATTGCCATATGGAATAGGCTCTGTAAGTGCTAGCTAGCACTGTTCTTTTTTTTAATAAGATTTTTATAGTCTTGTGAAGTGACTCAGATACTTTATAAGTATGTAAAGTATAATTCTGTTCCCAGTTTTCAAATATTCCATCCCTTGGTCTTCCCAATTATGTATTTTTATTAGTCAGACCATGTATATAATTTCTGCTTCAGTTAGATACTTATATTTTTTAAAATAACGGTAGTGTTTTGAGACTCTTTTAAAGTACTTTTAGCTTTGTTGTCTTTATTTTCAGAGGTCTATAGCATATTAACATAAGATTATCCTTCCATGGTGAAAATTAGGTGATTTGTATAGCAAATTTAATGGAAAAATTTTATTTCTGGAAATCAATTTTTGAAATATGTATCTTTCAGTACATGTGGGAAATTAGAGATAAGCTATTCTGAGGTTTCAGAATGGATAGAGGTGGTAGAATAGAATAAAACAAAAATGTCAATTGTTATGACTTTGGACATGCCAAAAGCACAAGAAACAAAAAGAAAACAGATAAATTGGTCATCTTCAAAATTAAATTTCTCTTTTGTGACCAAGGATGCCATAAAGTAGATAAAAACAACCTACAGGATGGGAGAAGCATTTTCTAAATCATATATCTAATACGGACTTGTTTCCAGAGTAGATAAGGAGCTTATAAAAGTCAGTAGTAATAATAGTGATAGTCACCACCTTAAAATTGAGTAAATAATTTGAATAACCACATTTCCAAAGAATGTGGTAGCATTATTCATTATGGCCCCAAAACAGAAATAAATCATGTCCATCAGCTGATGAATGCATAAGTAAATATGCCCCATCCATACAGTGGGTTAATATTTTGCAGTAAAAAGAAAGGAAGTGTTGACACATGCTGCATGAGTCCATGTTGAGAACATTATGTAAGTGGAAGGAGTCAGACAAAAGACTACATATTTTATTATTCCACTTATTTGAAATGTCCAGAAACATATAAAATCCTTAGAGACAGAAAGTGGATTTGTGGTTACCCAAGTTGGGAGAAAATGGGGAATAACTTTTAACAGGCATTGGGTTTCTTTTTGGAGTCGAAAATATTCTGAAATTTTTTGTATTCATGGCTTCTTACCCTGGATATACTAAAAATGCATGAACAACATACTTTGAATGAGTGAATTGTATAGCTATAGCTCATTAAAGCTATTATAAAAATAATAGGGTTAGAAGTAAAAGTGAAATAGTATTAGCTATGAGTTGCTAACTTTTGAAACTGAATGAGATGTACTCATTATATTGTTTTGTCTACTTTTGCTCCTGTTTATAAATTCTTCTTAATGGGAAGGAAATCTCTAGCCCCCCAAACTCAAGTCTTTATATTGATACTTCACATGACCAGTTATACTCTGCTTTTAAAGTAGAGAATGGACTGTGCATTTGCCCTGTGTCCTGAGTTTTCCTCTTTCTGACCTTCACTCAGGTCCTCTGTAACCTCTTATGTCTATGTTAGAACAGCTCTTTATTAATCATTTTATTATTTCACCAGTGGAGAGATTAGTGCTGGGAATTCTTCCCTTGTTACATTACTAGTCAGAGCTGTTTGGGTGTGAGGATTTGCTCAAAACTCCCTAATGCCTGAGATAGAAACTAATAAACCCGTCAGTAACACTGAATGCATTGGGAAAAAATGCCACTCACCCCTCCCTCTGAGAACTAAGAGCACAGCATTACATCTGCAAAGGGAATGTGTTCTCTGCTGGAGCAGCAGAGAAAGGGAAATGACATAGAAGGATACAAGCTTTCCCTTTTCTTTTATTGATTAATTTAGAAGCATATATTGAACAAAGGTGCTATGCCAACCTTTGGTAAGGAGGGAATGCCAAGATGACTGAAACACAGTGTTTACAATCAAGATGTCTAGAATTCTCTGGAAAAGATTAGTATGTGAATAGCTATAGTAAGATAGGTTGTGGTAAGGGCAGAAGAGAAGCACAATCAAAAATGCTGGGAAGATTCAGGGACAGAGGGGGAAAGAAGCCACATCTGTTTATGGAGAATTGGGAAGATTGACATTTGACATTTGAGGTTGGGTAAGATTTTGAAAAGATGGCATGAGCAAAGACACAGCTGCCAAAAAATAATGTTTAAGAGCTGGTAAATAATCCTGTTTTATAGCATAAAAAGATGTAAGAATAAATCAAAAAGTTCAAAAATCATTATTTAGATGTAGGGCCTACATGTAATATAGAGAGTCTTAAAGGATAGGTTGAAGATTTATAACTCAGGAACTCTGATGGCCTCTTGCTGAAGGAACTGGCATATACAATCCAGATAATGCACAGAACCGTTTGGTTGGTCATGTTCATGTTGGACTGCAAAATGAGGCAAGGAACCAATTTTAATATTTCAGTTAGAAAATAGAGTGAGTGTGATATGGCGTGTGAGAAGAGAATAAGAAAGGCGGGATAGATCCCAGCAGGTGGGAAAGCAGGGCAAGGGCATAGAGGGGCAAGAGGGCCTCTGACAGTTATGTTAGCGTTTGCTTTTAAATGCTTGTTAATCTCTGTGACCAGCATTTTAGATGAGGATTTCAGGGATCTGACATTAGAGGTAGTGGCCAAATACACGAAAGAATGGGACAGAGAAGAGGTCAAGTGGGTGAATTAGTGGTGGGAATTTTATGAGGATTGTACCTGCAGGGAGAAAGCAACACTGCATAAAAATGAACAATGATGTGAAATATATAAATATATATAAATTATTTTAAAAAGTCAAGGGAAGACTACTGGTGAGCATGCGCTACTACAGAGCAACCTGGAAAGCCTGACTGTGGAGGCCAGCTCTCCAGAAGGAGACTGCACATAGATTCTAGCAGGTTGATTTTTGACTTAGAAATTTGTGTGTTGACATGGTTAAAAGTCTGAACTTCACTGCTGGGATTAGATCCTAGGTCTGGCACAAGTTAGTTAGTGCTTGTCTCCCCATTCCCATACCTAAAAAATTGGTATAAATAAAAGTACCTGCCTCATAGTGCTTTTGTGAAAATTAAAGGAATAAATACAAGATCTTCTTGGTGGAAGAAGATCTGAAAACATTTTTTTTAAAGATTTATTTATTTATTCATACAGAATTGGGGTACAGGCCAGAGATGTGAGGGTGAGAGGATTCACCAGAGACAGAGCGGGGAGCAGAACAGGCAGATCGACGAAGCACACTGCTGAGGGGAGCAGCGGGTGGGCCAGGAGAGGTCTGCCACGCCATGTGGATCTCCTCCGGGGCAGGCGGGAATCGAACTCATGCGGAAGTGACTTTAGCTTCTTAGTGCTGTGCTTTAACCTGCTGTGCTACCAGGGAGGGCCGATCTGAAAACATTTTTAAAATGACACCTATATTGCTTAAAATTATTTATACAGTATGACTTTGGGGAAGTAAGATTAAGTTTCTATCATTAGACAGGTAAGTACAGATTAGGTAAGACAAGTCTTTTTAGAAAGGATGAAAGAAATAATGCAAAAGATTAAAAAGGATTAAGATTAAGGATTAAGATTTTTCAATCTTTAGAATGAGTGGCTTCAAGTGATTTTCTAAAAGTATCATACATGTTTCATGAATCCAGTATTCATTTTTTATTATTTCAGAAGAAATAAGGATAGATTGCCATTGAGATATTATACTGCCTGGAAGACCTTAATAAACCCAGTGAGTTGTAGTAATTTATTATTTCTGACTTTAATGGATTGCAAATGGGTTAATATTTGTATTTATTATAAAATGGGTTTGTGGCAGAACACTTTAATACAGTTTTGGTTGTTTGTGATTCTTATTAGTGATTTCTTTTTTGCAGACTTGTAATTAAAAAACAATAACTGAGAGATGAAAAACAAAAAGATTAACTACAGGAAATTAGTTACAGTGATTTCAAGAATGATTTCCAGCACCCAAAAATTTTTGCTTTGTCTTTTTAGAAAAAAAGCTACTTTAAGTCTACTATTCAGATCATAATCTGTTTCTCAAGTATTCTAACTTTAGCATTAACCTTGTGAATTAAATTATTAATTTCAAGATCTGGATCTTTCAATTTCAGGAAGCACTTGGTTCTACTTACGTTGTTATAAGCACAATAATATCACAATTTTAGCTTTAAGTTGTTTTGTAGAAAAGAGTATTTTACTTCTTAAAACTCTTATTCTTTATTTTTAAAGACTTAATTTTTGTCATCATTCAATAGTTGTCCAGAGTAGTTTCACTCAAACATGAACCTTTATTGTTTACAAAGCATTTTCACATACATTTATATCCTTCTGTCCTCATAGCAATTTTATTCATTCATATGGTTACCTTCACACTATACAGAGGAAAAGACACGTTCGGAGAGAAGAGATTTACTAGGCTATCAGAGGAACTGGATTCTGGTTACTTCTTTCGATTGAATTTCTGCATTTCTATGCTCTTTCTGTTCTCTTACTACTAGTGGTTAAACTTTATTATATTAATTATATTTCCATCGTGCTCCTACAATTTTGCAAAACAAAGTAACTTATTATAACAGTTATGTTACTAACTTATTATAACAGTTATTATAAGTTACTATAACAAAGTAACAAATACTTATAAAACATACAAATATTTTATTTTAAAAGTTTGCCAATATTTCCCTTGTTTTCTTATATTACTTAATTTATGTTGTTTTGAATGTCAATGAAAATTACATACACTGTCCTAAGAGTTTTTATTTTCTATGTGTTTTATTTAAGGCTCTCTTATTCAGTTATAACAGATGAGACTTTCAGAGTTTTCCAGTTTGTATATCTGAAGAGATAATTTGGTATAGAATTTATAGCATTCAGGCTTTTCTAACCAAGGTCTTCCAAAAGGACATCTCAAAAATATTCCTTAGCACTGAGGCAACCATGTTATATAACCTAACAATTGAATTAATGTTAAAAGCTGATAAGAACTGTGATAATAAAACTTTTGAGTTAATTGATTTTACATAAGCACTTACTACAAAACTTTATAGAAGTTTCATAATCAGGTAGTAGTAATTAAAAAGAAAAGCATGTACTATAGCTCCCAAACAAGCTTTTATGAATAGCATCTATCAAAGTGATAATAAACACCACTAAAGCCTTTATTATAAGGAGTTAGTTTTAAACATAAAAGCAATAAGGCTCTAACACATGAGAATGTAATTAAAGATACCAAACCATACTTAAACATTATGAGAAATATTACAGTACCACCCAAGTTGTTAATAAAAGGATAAGAATAATATAACCATCCTTGTCAATTTTGGTTTTCTAACAATGAAAAGAACACAAATTTTGCTAAGTCAGTTTTACAGTACAGTTCTTTTTTTGATGCACTTCATAAAGTTATCAAATTAAATATTGAATGTCTTATTTTTTGTTTCTGAGAAAGAATGTCCAAGCATGAGGTTTATGCAAAAACACTTGTATGCAAAAAAGAAACTGCAGTACATGCTTGTTTCTCTTACTCATATTAATAGTTTTGCAAAATTCTGAAATTTTTTGTCATGAACTAAGTCAGTGGACTTACACAGGAATAGATTTTTGCTTATGTGTACCATACCACCATTATTAATACACTTCAAGTATTCAAAATGTAATAATTCCTAAATTTTATATTAAATGGATATAACTATTGCTAAGTATTACTTTCTGAAGTTACCAAGTTGAACACTCATTCTGTTCAAAACACAACGAAATGTTGCAGGTTGCATTTCCCAGTACTTCACTGGGTTGTTGAATAAACTTATTGCACTGTATAAAGATTTCTTCATCTTTGGCACTGTTGGGCAGAAGTCATTCACTCCCACCTTCGCAATTGAATTAGAATGCAGGAAAATTATCTGTTGAAGTAGGAAAAATGTTGGGTTAAATATATAAGTATTTAAGAAGATACTTTGTTTATAGCCAGTATTTGTGGATTTGTCTTTATACTGCTTTGTCAGCATTTCACTTAAAATGTATTTACTCCATATAGACATTAAATACTTAATATTTAATGGCCCTGGCTCATATGTTATACATGAAAGTGTCCTGTGTGTCAGATATGGTGTAGGATTCATGTCAAGCCCCAGAACACCCTGCATGGTCAATCAGCACTTTGCTTGGTCTCATGGCACCTCAATAGAGAGATAGATAAATAAGTAGGCAGGTTGGTAGGCAGGTAGATAGATGGATGGATGGATGGATGGATGGATGATAGATAGATGGGTAGATATGGCTACATCAGTGCCTTATTTGCAATTGTGTTTAAATGTATTAAAAATTAGAGGAATAAAGTTTTAATGCTCCAAGAATTAGTCTTGTAGTATGAGTGTGAAAGGATGATTGGCTAGCATTTTCTCTGATTAAGGGAGAAAGGTATAGAACTATTTTTGTTTAAGTCTTATAGAAAGTATATCTACTCACATTTTAATCATATCTGTAATAGAGCATCATAGTTGAATCTTTATTTCTACCAAAGGATAAAATACAATTTTATATTTATATCAAAGACTGTATTTTTAAATGAAATTATTACTGAAAGAATGGATAGTATAAGAATTTGCCTTCATCCTCTTTAAAGTCCTTTTTTACTGACAGCCTTCTGACCTGTAGCTTTTGCCTACAAAGATAAGGGTTTGGTTGTGATTACCTCTAGATTCTGCCTTGAGTCTTGGTAAGATTGATCCAAATTGGTAATGAAACCTCTATGTAAAATTATTAATTTGGTGTGGAATTCCCTTTACTCTGTTATTCTTGGATATCTGTAAGCAATATTTTATGTAGTTCTTGTATGTTTCCTCACAACCTGTGTCAGCACTGAAGTCAAGTCTGCCCAGCATTGACCCACAGGGATTGGGGGATTGCTGGACATTGTCTTACTGTGTGGATATTTGTGGAACTTTATCATACAATTGTGTTATTCTCTATTATCTCCTTGTTCACTTTTTTAAAAAAAATTATTTATGCATAAAAGAACTGGGATATAATAGACCAGTAGTGTGAGGGGCTCCCACAGGGAGCCGTGGGCAGGGCAGGAGAGGTCTGCCATACCATGTGCGTCACCTCCCTGGCTGGAGATCGAACTGATGCTGCAGTGATTGCAGATAGCTTCATAGTGCTGTGCTTTAACCCATCGCACCACCAGGGCACAAAGAACAAACAAGAGTTTGGGTAGATTTGAGAGTGCCCAGAAGCTGGGTCAGAATTGTAGAGAAATCAACAAAGATGAATAGCCTGAGAGAAAAGACTAGGTCATGCTTATTGCCTGGAGAGATACTTAAGTGTACTTTTGAAAAAGTCCAAAGCAAAAGTTGTTACAGCTACCTATAGCACATCCATTTTGATGGTGTCTGTCTCAAAAGAGTGCAGGGAACAACATTTGTTTAAAGATAAGCTGGAAAAAAATCTAGAAGAAGCAAGTGGCTAAGGTGCTGTTTTGTTCTCAATGTGTTTTTGCTTCTTAGAAGATGAGGACTTTGTACATCAAGGAAAACACAGGGGAAAAATGGACCAAGTGAAGAGAGACTGCTTAATTTTAGGGCCATGCATAGAATCAGGGAGTTGTACAACCCCTAAAATTATGTACAAAATACTGTTTTCATGTTTTGTTTCTGTGAGGGCCTAAAGCTTTTTTAGATTGTCCAAGCATTTTGTGGTACCTCCCAGCTGTCAAAAGGAAAATGTTTCTAATAATGAAGAACAAAAAATTCTAACTTAAACCAAATACTGACTTTTGTTTAGTATTGATGCTGACACCATATAGTGACTTCTGGGATGAATATGTAAATTTGTTTTGGCCCCAAATTTTTTAAGCTATATCCATAATTATAATGTAGCACGACATAGCTGATGAAAATGCCTGGGAACTCATCTCCATGTGCTACCTTCAGAAGTGGTTTCCAGGGTGAAATCACATTGATCCTACTTGGTTTCTTACTGACTAATCCTGCCCTGACACAGCCACTGCCCCCCAGAAACCTAAGTAGATGATTTAGTAACTTTGCCACAATGAACTGTCAGTCAGAAGAAAGACACAGGACCTGTAGTATTTAACTGTGTCTGGGTAGAGCCTATTCTTCTGACAATTCTGCTGCACAGAATACCCAGGGAATGTGAACGTCATTATGTATGAATGACCCTTGTTATTTGTTTGGTCTTTGCTTAAGATACTATGTTTTATAGAAATAAAGGAAAATAAAATATCCACAAACCATAGGCAGAATGGTTTACCTGGAGATACTTCAACTCCTGTAATCCTGAAGGGATTTTCTTCAGTTTATTGTTTTCCAAGTGTATTTCCCGTATGCGTGGTATGTTAGCAAGACTTCCATTTTCAATTTCTGTGATTCTGTTGTTTCCTAAGCCCAACCTAAAAATAATATAAAACATACAGATTTTTAAGCAGATAGTTAGCTGAAAACACCACAATCTATTTAGAAATATTACCTGTACCATTTGTATATACATACATACATATACATATAGGTACATACATACATATATTTTTTTCCCAGAGGAAATATTTTGTGTTCAGAGGAAAGTATTTTGTGTCAGAAAATTCTTTATCTCAACTATATTCAACAACAGAGATATTTGAAAAGTGTCCTTTTCTTTTTTCCACTTGGTTTCCCTCCCCTATTACCTAGACAAAATATTAGTATTTTCTTTGCATTTTCCCATCAAATTCTTCAATAACAGCAGTTACCATCTTGTCTAGGTCTTGTTGTGTATTCTCCAAGAAGTTTCATTTATATCTTAATAGCATGGGCTACCACTTCGCAGTTAAGATCTGGGGATGTTTACCTTTGCAGATCCTTGTATCGCTTAAAGTCCTCAAGTTCCACAGTTGAAATTTTATTATAATCCAAATGAAGCTCCAGTAAAGTTGTTGGTAGTCCTAGTGGTAAGAAAAGAAATACACATAGTCAAGTAAGGCCAAACCCCATTGATTATTTACTGGTTAAGTTTCATATTATGGACTTGGCAATTTTTTAGCTATTGGTACTTTTTTAAACTTTTTATTATGGAAAATTTCAAACACACCCCATATTTGAAATTAGTATTAATGAACTGCTATATATGGCTTCAACAGTTTCTTCTATTTTTCCAGTAGTTAGCATCTACTAGTATGTTTCCATCTACTCAGGTATTTATTGTCTTATTTACTGGTTTGTTTTTATTTATTCACATTTTTGCCAGAATATTTAAAATCAGATTTTATGGAGTGATTTAAAATCACTATATATGTGTGTCTCTAATTCACAAGATAATCTTCCTTTAATATCTGATATTAATATCACATCTAACAGAATTAGCAATAATTCTTTACTATTACCTAATAATTCATTTTCCTAGCTCCTCTCAAATATATTATTTTACAGATGATTTATTTTAGTCAGGAGCCAAGTCAAGTTTCTAGATGTATTTAGTTCCTTTACCTCTTCTGTTATATTTTTTTTCTCTATTGATACAAGTATCTCTATGAACACAAAATTTTTTACACTATTTGATACATTTGAATTATTACAGTATTCTTTCCAGTTACTAGTTTTTGCATGAATTCAGAGAAGTATCTGCTAGCTGGCTCTCCTTACACTTGTATGACCTGACACAGCCCTAACCAGATTACCTAAACTAATACTGAAAGGGTGAAGGACTAATGAGAAAACACAGTCAAGTTATCATTGATTGCTTGTCAATACAAAGTTCTAGTTAGCAAAGTTGGGAAAGTGTTTTTCTTTTAACTCTTGCAGAATCATTTCCTTACTATATTGGTAAAGACTATTGAAGAAAATTGACGCAATTTAAGAATATCACTTTTCATGGCTGACTTTACGTTGATTCCTGAATGCACTTTGAATTTTAAAAGTAAATAAACTGGAGCAGAAAAATAATTCTAAACGGAGAGAGTTCTCATTTCTTGAATTATAATTAGTTGAGTTTAATTCTATTTATAGAGTAACTATATACACTCCAGTTTGTAAAAGACTCTATAATAGTTGAGCAAATTCATACACTTACAGGAATCACTAGCAAAATATCAGAATGTGCTAGCCTTTTTTAGGCTAAGTCATAGCAAAAGAAAGAGGAACAGATTGCTTATTTTGAGTAGTTGAAAACTTACTGCAAGATTATTCGTAGAGTTACAGACTGTTCTTCCCCTACAGCATGGGGAAGAAGGAAAGGGAGAATAAACTGAGGTGGATTTGGGTGGAAACTCCAATGTCTGCTGGCAAACACTAACATATTTCCATTCCCTCTTTGTCTACAATCATCACCTCCATCCCAACTCCACCTCTACCAACCATGCAATACTGTTAGGTAGTAGGCTTTTCCAAACGAATAGGATGAAATATGTTTTCTTATGTTAATTTGTCTGGTCTGAGATGGACCTTTTGAACCTCTGCCTAATCTCATTCTGTCACAGGAGATAATGATGTTTGGATTATAATATTTAGGCAGTCAGCCCTAGTGTTTTAGCAAATAAAGCATAAAAGCAAAAAATTTTGCTTGACTTTTGTAGAGAATAGTTAGAAATGAATAGTTTTGTAAGTTGAGAAATTTGATTCCAATTTCTCAAGATGTGAAATTATGCTTTAAGCTTTGGAAGAATCTTGAGAACTTCATGAAAAATTAAATCTTCATTTTAATTTAATTTTTTTAAGCTTCATTTTAAAAATATACTTTGAAACATGAAGACAGGTTGCTAGAGAGGTAGCTTGTAGTATAGGAAAGACAGCTGATGTGAACCAAAAGAGCTGTGACTATGGGTCCTCTGTAAGCCTAACTCCTGGAGTGCCCTCCCCCTTTCCTTTCCTTTCTGGTCTCCACTCCTCCTGCTTCCCTCCTCTTCTCCTTTCCACTCTTTCCTCATCTCATCCCACACAGTACTCAGCTCTCCTTCCACTTCCCATCCTAATTCTGTCCTCTCTGGAGCCCTCTCCTCCTTACCCCTCTCCCTCCCATCTCCCCCTTTCTCTCATTTTATGTATTCACTTTGACAAGTAGAGTTTGCATTTTTGGTAATTGTTCTAAAAATGAGAAAGTAAAATATAATAGTTTTGGTTATATTTGGCCACCTTGTTGAAATCTAAAATAAAATGGCTTTTTAACTATGCAAGGGAAATTAATAACTGCAGCTTTGCTGTGTCTTTTAAGATACCATTTTTTTTTAACTTCCTAGGTAAGGTGAGTACTAGAAAAAGGGTTAAGATAAAGTCACTGTCTCAATAAGTGGGTTCCCAACAGACAGCTATTTGAAAGGAAAATATGTTGTTTACTATGGTTGTCACAGCAGAGAGTATCTTGTTAGGGACAAGGTTAGTGGAGCTTCGAGCAAGCCCCTAAAAAGACAAGCCTATCTCATTGATCAGACTGGCAGCATGGAAGTAAGGTATTAGAAAAATGCAAAACAGGTCAAGTAGCAGACCTAAGAAGCATTTTGCTTTGAGGCACCAGCTTGAAGCCACATGATAAAGTGTCGCTTGTTCTGGTAGCAGTTATGTCACAAGAGGGCATTTGCCATGTGCATATGCCTGTTAATTTGCTTAGCACCCCTAAGAGACTGGGCAAATCTGTCAGAGCCAGCATCTGCCCAGCTGGTCTCAAAGATCTCAGCTACAGAACCGTAGCTGCAGAGCCCTGGCTGTGCACTGCAGAAGAATCTCTGGTCCTATGCCTTCTGCTTTCTTCCTGTCAAAATTCTCAACACTAATGAGAATTGACAATATATATAAGTAAATGATAAGAAAGAGAAAGAAGGGTCCTCCCTGGTGGCGCAGCGGGTTAAAGCACTGCACAAAGAAGCTTAAGCCACTTCCGCAAGAGTTGGATCCCCGCTTGCCCCGAGGAGATCCACATAGCGTGACAGACCTCTCCTGACCCGCCCGCTGCTCCCCTCAGCAGTGTACTTCGTTGATCTGCCTGTTCTGCTCCCCACTCTGTCTCTGGTGAATCCTCTCACCCTCTGCATCTCTGGCCTGTACCCCAGGTCTGTACGAATAAATAAATAAATCTTTGAAAGAAAGAAAGAAAATAGAAAATTCATTGCTTCTTTTTAATTTTTTTTTTTTTTTTTACATTTTAAAAGCAGGTTTATTAGGAAAAGGAGAAGGGGGAAGATTGGGGGACATACATAGACACAGGTGGGCAGAAAGCTGCGGCTACTACTTTTTAAAGAGAAAAGATTTTTGGAAAGAAATACTGGCAGTCTTGGCTTCTTAATGTTTGTTCTCATTGGCTGGGGGGTTGGAGGTGTTTCTGGTTTCATACTGATCAAGTAGAAAAGCATTATATACATGACTGGAGGAGGGGTGGAGTGAGGGTACAAGCAGAGAGACAGTACCAATTTCATCCTGTACTAAACAGACATATTGTTAAAAATTCTAATTGTGCTGTGACTTTGACAATGTATACAGTTTAAAGCATTGCATTAATGGTCACTTAAAGATGGCAAAAGATGCTTTACCTTAAGTAAATACAAACCTTTAGGAATTGAGGTCAGTTTTGCTTCTGCAATTCTGATGTGAAATACTGTCAGCCCTTCAAATGCCCCCGGTTCAATGCCATTATTATCAAGAGGGTTTGCACTCATTTCTGTGGGGAGAAATGACATAATTCGGCACACAGGTGTAGTATATGAAAGGAGCTAACAATGCAGATTACGTATTCTTAAAAAAAAAAACCTGAAAATTATGTACATCATAATTCGTGGCTTTTTCACTCATGACATCATTTTAGCCATTCCCTGTCTGTCAGTCTTAGTACAGATTGCTTTGATGTCATAAGCTGGAGTATAAAGTAGGCTCACCTACTTTACTTTGAGTTACTAAATCAAAACATTATCATTATCTCTTCTAATCATGAACATGATTTTATTGTGGTAATATTATATCAAAGAAAAAAGTCATCCTTCAAATAACTCAAAACCTTTGTGTCTTTTTATGTGTCAATTGAACTTTAAAAATTTTAAACCAATTAGAAATTGTTATTTGATTATAAAAATATAGCTTTCGAGGAAATGCCAGTAATTAAAACTAATAACCAGGCTCGCAGTTGAATTAAGTAAGTCAGTAAGCAATTTGCATGTTGGTTAGGAATTTTGAATAGATATTGTAGAGGTACATGAAATAATTATATCATGATTGTTACAAAATAGGGTGGAATTTAAAGTACCCAACAATTCCCTTACCTCAGTACTCTTAAAGCAGGTAATGAAATGTTAGATGTGTTCTCCAAGTAATATCCAAATAAATTTTATACACTATTTTTGAGTATATGACACATTAAAAGTAAACCTTTTTGGACAGATGTTACCAATTTGGATTCAGTCAGAATAGAAATCTCTCTAGGTGTTTCAAATGGAATTCTTCAGAGAGGGGGAGAGGAAGAGGGAATATTTGATCCTGTGTTTTACAAAGGTTTATTTTTCTTTAAGTGCTGTAAATTTTTTTTTTTTGCTACCTTGATTTTCAAATGGCTTATCTAGATAAAGATTATTGGATTCAAAATTAATTCTGGGAATAACCAGCTCAAAAAATGTTAGTAATGACTAAGCTCTCTACATCTACAGATTGCTTATGGTTTTAACTTACCCAGAACATGTAAGGCATTCATTCCTTTAAAGGTCTCCTTTTGTATTTTCTTAACTTTATTATCATGAATTCTGAGTTCTGCTAAAGATTTTGGAAGGTTAAGTGGTATTTCACTGAGTTGATTGTGGGACAAATACAGTCTTCGCAGCTTCTTTGTAGTAACAAAGGCTTTGGGGTGAATCTTTGTTAGCTTGTTGTTATTCAGAATCAAACCCTAGATAAACATGAAAAGTTACACAATATTTAGAAGTGGATTTGATTTACTGATACTCTACAGTGATTATTACTCATAGAATCAACACTAATTATGTCCTTTGTGTGTTTGATTAGTCATGTAATTCTTTTGTTAGTCTAAACTAATAAAAAATATTTACTACTGAGTTGCAAAGTACAAAACTGTAATGATTGGTTTCTGTTTTGGTTTATCTTAAGTAGGTGGTATGTTCAGTTGGTTAAGGCTCCTCCTCCCCTGTTACCCTTCAAGGAAATAATCAGTGCTTATTATCTTTATCCTCCCTTAAAACCTACAGAATGAAATTGAGTGCATATCAAATACATTTTTGCATGATTTTATCTACTTTTAAAACATTGCTTCTTTTGTGTTTACTAATGTTTATCATTTCCCCCAAAGGGAATAAATTACTATGAATTGTCTTCAACCTTCTGGTTTGTCTCAGATGTTGTAGAGACAGGAATGGGTCCTGACAACAGTTGCTAGCCCCTCCTTGGTTCCAAGGATCTGCCTCAGAACGCAACTCCCTTTGGAGGAACTATAAGCCCAGAAAGAGAAAGGCTTAGAGCCGTTATCCTGAATTCTCTACAACAAACCCTCCATGACACATTGACTGTTAGGGAGACCAGCATCCTCAGTCTGATGAGATGTGTGAACTTTAGAACCGAAACTGGGAAAGTCCTGGCATGAGGGTCACGTCAGTCACCCTGATTGATGAAAATAATTATTTTTATTGCAAAAAAAGACATAACTTCACCCTTTTTTAATTGCCAGATTTTGTAGAAAGAATTTCCACTGCTTATTGAGTAATGGCAAGTGCTTAGCTTTCCTAAGAATTAGATCATCTGGATTAGTAGAGATGGATAAAAAGTTATAATTCTTTCAAGGAACAGAACTGGGCTCATTTCTTTGATAAATTCTGTCACCAATCCCATTCTGCAACAATCATTCTGTTGTTTCCAGAGTAACTTAATACACCTTTCTATTGGTATTAGAACTTTTGTTGTTCACAGACAAGACATATTTTGACAGTTACTAACTATATTATTATGTCTCACTGTAGGCTCTTTTCATCCCCTCCTTTTAAAACATATCACCACTGTTAAAAATTTCACCTAGGAAAAGAGTTATAATTATGTTTTATTACTAATTGGCAAAAAAAAAATTCTACTTCCTAAATGAATGCTGCCATTCAATAGCTTGTACTCTTTTCTTTTGGTTATACTGAAAAGTTTGGGCAGGTCATTCTAATAACATGATGAATGAATCCTCATTCGACCCTGTGGGGTAAATTTTAGCAGAAATCATTTCTCTCCCTTTAGTGATGGGGAAAGGATCCAATGAAGCAAATTGATATGCCTACAAATACCCGATAAATTGGGATCAGAGCTGGCCCTGACCCTTTACCTTGTGTCCTCTTATGTCCACTTTCTGTGGGCTTCCCTGTCAGGAAACACAGACTCACTATGAGGCCTGTTAGTTCAGAGTTGATTTTCCCCCTCTGGTTCAGACATGTAGTGGTTAGAACTGCACAAAAGAAAGGATAACATAGAAAGAGGGGAAAGTTTTATAGAGTGCTTTCAAATGCTTTTCCAGCCATTGGATTAGCAGTGTCTCCAGTTAAATTGTACTTTCAGTGTTGACTTTTACATAAAAATTCCAAAAGTGGCCTCCAGAGCCCCACATTCATCATTAACAGACAATGTGGTTTTATGTAAGGACAGAAGATGAGAAAAGTATGGCCTTTCTGAAACAGGGAGGCAGCTCTTCATGATGAATGTGGCTGTTATTGCCTGAAAGTGAACAGGGCGGGAGTGAATGTGATGGTCTCTTAATTCTCAAAATGCTGTGCTGTCTTCTGTGTGGAAACCACAATACCAAATAGCTAAAACAGCATATAGAAAATTGATAGACTATCTAAAAAGTATTAGTTCCACTTAAAAATAGGCATCATATAAAATAAGATAAATGTTTTGAAATACAACATACCCACAATTCACATAGAGTATGCACTTTAGAAAATAATACACACACACACTGGGCCAGTGCATTTTATATATATAAACTGGAGACAGCTAACCATCTTCTGGGAAGGCATTTGAGAGAGCTCTATAAAATTCTTACCTCCTTCTATATTACATATCCTTCCTTTTATGCAGTTCTATTAATTATATGTAATTAATAAAGATAATAAGGGAAAAGTTCGCCTTTAACGTTCTAGAAGAAAAGTCACATGAGTACATATGTATTTGTAAATTGGGATATATTTGATGTGCTGCTATTAGAGATTTTGATGACTTAAGAGTCAGTGATTTGATACAGATTTTCTTATGCCGTATGTTATTGAGTTCCTATGAAGAATTTTATAGTACAATGAATATGATTGCAAAACAGATTGTAAGCTCATTTAAGGACCATTTCACGTGGCTATTCTTCAGATGCTAATTGAATTAAATCTATATTTTCCTTAACTAGAATACCATCAGGCTTCACACACAGAACTGTTTACACTGACACAATAATTTTAGAACTGATAGAAATGTTCACTTAAATACTTGAAAATGTGAGTGTACATGCTTACATAAAGTGATGTGAGTCCTTTAAAGTCATTTTCTTTGATTTCCTTGATTTTATTATTTTGAAGGTCAATCATGCGAGTATCAAATGGAATGTTGTTTGGAACAGAGGACAAACCTAAGAAATAAACAGACACATTATATAGATGTTTTTTGCTGAAGATGAAATTGTTAATCTGATAGAAGTGCTCATATTTAAAATCATTGGTTATCATATAGTAACAGATGACAGTTCTTTGAAAAGGATTGGAGATCTCTGCAAGTAACTTCTTTATTTTTACAAGGTGTCTAGCTTAGTCATGTACCGTAAGGTCAATTAATAGAAGTGAGTGGGACTTTGCTGTTGTGACACAGAGGGACAGTGAGGCACTAGCCCTGCCTATGTACTTTGGCTGAAAAAATATTAGCATTCTTTGCATATTTTTAGACTGTTATGCTAAATTGAAGCCTGTGGGTTTCATCATTTTAATAAACTTAAGCAATTGTGCTTGGAAATAGATAAGTTAGATTATTTTTGTACATATTATCAAAATCTCCACTACCAATTTCCTTTAATAATGCACCTCTCCAATTAGCTGTACATTATTTGATTTATGAAAACTCATTCTTAATGTAACTTATCACAACATCTAAGTGTATGGCGACTTTCCTGAAGTTATCACAGAGGAGTTAGCTCATTGCAGAGTAGCTAGGCTCACACTTCCAGCTGTGTGTTCTGATTTGAAGTTATGAAGGTCTCCATTGTTACTACTGTGCTTTGCAGGTACAGTAATAACTTTCTTTTCTGTCATCCTAGATTAAGGTATAGTCATCTTAGTTTAAGGTATAGTTATGCAGTGTTTTACTACTCAGTAAATCTTAACTTAGAAAATAATTAAATCTGTTTTGGTGGTATGTTTGGTATGTTTGTTTCTTTTTTGTCTTGCTTTCCCGGATGCTGAACTCCATGCCACCCCAGCCCCCAGCCTGTAGTCAAACATTCATACAGCACTTGTGTTTGTGGAGCATCGCACCATCTGCTTGTTCCCAACATAGCATTATGAAAATGTTCAAACATGAAGAAAAGGCCCAAAACCCATATCTTCTTTCTGTCATCAACATTTTACTGGACTAGACTTACTATTCGTTTACTAACTTGTCTTTTTGTGCATTTCAAGGTGATTTTCAAATATTAATGTGCTTTCAGAGGGAGCTGTCATTATCATTGAAGAGCAGTAGTAAATCAAATAGCTGAAATTGAAGAATTTAGTAACTAAATAGTATGGAAGTCAAAAGTCCGTCTGCCCTCAATATTTTGTCTTCCAAATTTTAAAAATGACAACTCTTTTGAGGAATTCGTACAGTTTTTTTTTTTTTTTTTAAAGCTGGGAAGAAGGGGTAACTTGAAGGGTCAGTGAGGCAGAAGTTTTGTTTGTAAGCGTAGATGAATTTTGCCATAGTGATAAACAGAGTATTCTTTTGGTTTTAGGAGAAGGCATGAAAGGTCTGGGAGGCAGTTAGAGTTTCTGCAGAAAGAACCAGGTAGCACAGACTTTCATAGATATTTCTACACTTACTGAAGGAAATAATAATGAGTATCAAGCCCCCGTCAGCAACAATCACAGGGACTTGGGCAACTACTACCCAGATATTCCTGGGTAAATTTTGATTTAAAGATTTTTCTACAAGCTATTTAGAAAATGGTGTAACAATACTGTTTAAACCAACTTTCTGTTGTCGAGGGTTTGGTTTTCTGTTTTTGGTAATCATCTTGGATGGGACAGAGCTAATGCAAAATTCCCCCCATATATGAAGAATGTCACATGAGCATGTCTTGTAATTAAGTGGATATCTCTCTGGCCACAGCTTCCCTAGAACCAACCCAGTTTGCATCCAGCTATGTCAAAATAGGTGCATTTTATCCTGATTTTCTTACAAAGTGATTTCATATACACCAGTTCCACAAACTTGTGGTAGAAGCTTCCTGCCTGAGATGGAGTTTAGAAGTGATAGTAAGTCCTGATATTCACTGCTGCCTTGGTTCTTCCTGTTTGTCCTCCCTCAGCTACTTGGGCATGTGCTTCCCCATGAGCTTTCTCAGATACTGCTTGCATCTTGTCATCTCTTTCTCACAAGATGTCAAAGGTAAAGCTTAAAATTCTTTTTTCTCCTCCTAGCCTGTACATTCCCTGAGACTTTCCCAGTGGTTCTAGCTCATAACAGTCTCTTTCTGAGTGCTTTTTTGTTCACCTCTCTCATTTTACCCCATAATGACACTTTTATTTAAAGTTTCTAGAGTAACTTATAACAACACTGAGTATTGTCACACATGCTGTTAAGACTTTAGAAAGTTAAGTTGTATAGCTACTTCCTATAAGATAATTCTAAGCCCAAATCATTCAAAATGACTAGAACATTGTTTTTAAAATGTCTAGTTTACATATTTCATGAACTCTAACCTATTCATTGTTTTAGACAGACAACTTATTTTGTTGTTGCAGAATATTTTTTAGAAAACTTGATCAGTCTACTGATACCCTAAGATGAGACTAAGGTAGTGTCTATTCTCTGTAGAGGACCTAAAATGTAAGAACTTTGATTCAAATTTGGAAAGAGAAGGAAATGTTCTAAAGATTCTGTTATTCTTCTATGTTTCTTCTGAATTTAAAAAATGAATTTGAAAGTAAGTTTGGGGTTTGTTAAAGTATCCAAAAATTTAATGGAAAGTCTACTTTACAGTGAGGTTTTTGACATTTCAGTGACAACTTTCTGTATCCTTTTAACTTTGTCAGACAGTATTCTTAGAACAAGTTGAAGTGATTCTTACCTAGATCTGAGCAGTGTACAACTCTTGAGTAGCATTGACATCCAAATGGACACATTTGAAACAGATCAAATGGGAAGAAAGGGTTAACTGGTTCTCTTGTTGGAAAAAGTGAGTTGTCAGCGTCCATATCACCATCATCTGCATCTTCCATGTCCTGCAGCATCATATTCTTCAGCGTCATGTATGAAGGAGGAAAAGAGGGCTTGGCAGAGCACAAAGCCAAGAACACTAGGATCGCACATTCTTTCATGTTGTCTTGTTTGAGACTGGCCTAGGGTTAAGGAGACATTGAGGATTAGGTTAACTCCTAAGCATTTGTACAGTTCTGTACATTTCTGAGAGCTGGCCATTGTACAGTGAAAGAGCATTCATACCCTTTGCAAGGGTGAGAATAAACTATAAAAAGATTTTGGAAGGCAATTTTGAAATAAAATTGGAAGGTTTAAAAATCTGTTTTTCATACAGTAATTCTACATTTTGAAATCTAGTCTCAAATAATTTTAATGTGCATAAACATGTTCATTGAAAAATTATTTTTAATGGCAAAAATAGTAAAGATAATACTAACAGTTAAAGGCAAATATTAAAATATTTTTCTTGAAATATTTTGGAAATCACAAAGTGTTTGCAAAGACATTTAAAAATATGAAATAATTTTTTGAAATAAAAAACAGATTTTATGGGGAATACACAATGATTTAAATGATATAAATAAAAATAAATATTATACAAATATATACATAGTATACTTACAAATACAAAACTTGGCACAAATACTCATTTTTTTCCCATGTTACCTGAAAGTAGTATGTACCTATTTGGAATGAATTGGTAGTTTATTTTTGAGACCTGGGACATTAATTTACATGGAAAAAAATTTTTAATAGTATCAGACTCCTCAAAAAACAGCTTACCAAGTCATACCAAGTACAAATGTGCTTTGGATATATGGAAAGCCTCTACCTCATTGACAGTCTTTAGGTAGTAGGACCATAAAGAACTTCTGTCTTCTTTTTTCTTTAATTTCTATAATAATAAGTACTACTTTTATAATTAAGAAACTAGTAAATGCTTTTAAAAACAAAAGCAGATTATCTTATCTGACTACTCATAAAATCCTTCCATTGCTTTAATATCTATGCCATGCTTACTGTTCCCTTTGCACAACATCTGGAAGCTTCCCTTAGCTGACCACTTTCTCCCACCACTCTGCTTAGCCTCAGAGTTGGTCACTTTTTCCACACTGTCATTTAGATGCTCTCCTTCTAATCAGTTCCATTGTCTAATACCTGATCCAAATCATCTGATGTCCAGTCTATTCTTTCTTACTTGTCTTTCATCTGAGTTGTCTGTTGGAGGACTTGGTGGGAAGATAGGAGTTGCAGGATTTGTTTTCATTTGTATTTCTTAAAGTCTACACAAAACTGGAATGTACACATATGACCCTCTTGAGCACAGATTTGCTGTCATGGCTGGTACTTTACAGTCATGTTACATACTATAGTTTTATAGCCACTGCCTTTTAAACATATATTCTTTACAATTTTTTAAAAATGGAAAGCATTATGAAATCATGTCTAACAGACTTGTACCACTGTTCTCTTTGGGACATGCAGCTGTCTATACATAGATGTCCATGGTGAAACTACATCTTGCAAGATTCCCAGATATCCTCAGCCACACAGTTGACCTGCTGTGCCTGGATAGCAAATGGTACCTGAGTGGAAAAGGACTTCAGAAACAGCCAGATCTGGTCTAGCCTCAGCAAGTCTTGCTTCGTGCCATCTATTATTTCCCAGAACCCAGAAATCAGCTGTAGTGACTGCTTTCTTTGACTTAGGAGTCAGAAATCATGACTTGATTAAAATACTCATTTGTCTTTTTATTACCAGAGGAAGGTTAAAAATTCCTGCTGTCATCAGTTATTAACATGGTGATTGACATTATTTAATTCTTAGGGATCTCTATGGTAATATGAAAGTTTTGTCTACCAGGTGGCTAGATAACTGGACGGATCCTTGAGGTTTCCTGTGATAACCCACACTCAACTGTGCTAGCAAAGAGATTACTGACGTGAGAGAGGCAAAAGCTTTTTACATTTTAACTGTTCTCTTATGAATCCCACTTCAGAACAGCTCCAGCCTCCCATCTCTACACTACCCTGAAGAAGTTTGTCTATATGTATCCCTCACACAAAACAGGAGGAAAGGGAGCTACAGAAAGCGTAAGTGGTTTCATCAAAGTCACAGGAGCCCACATGTCCCAACATCTGTTCTCCTCTTTCTGATATTCTAGCCCACTTGGGAGCACTCTACTCGTGTGGCCCCAAATCTCATGGCCTCATGTATACACATTGTCAGCCTTCCCCTAATGCACAGGCTATCATCTGGTTTCATCTGTATAGAAGGACATGTGTACAGTTTGAGAACAGAAGTGGTCAGATCTGTACATGCAGAAATTGTGCTGGTGACTCAGGAGCTTCTGGAGGCTGACCCAGGGGCCAGGCAAGTTAGGGCTCTCTACTCTATTTACTCTGGAATCCAGGCATGAATGTGTGGTTACAGATGACTGGGCTTCATTTTCAGTATCACTTCACCTTTGGTCCATTATCTGCTTCTTGACTGCTCACCCTACTTTGATCCACTACATTTCTTGACCTTAGGCTTCTGTGTGGTTCTTGGCTCCTTAAAACTTGGTTTCCGCTTTTGCCTTGACCTCCCAAATTCTCGTTTCCTAGCTAATTCAATTCTTGATCTCTTGTTTGTCTCTGGTACCAATTATTTTTTATTTCATTCTTCCATTACCATTATGTCTTCTAGCTGACCTCGTCTCACTTTGATGAGAGCTGGTGAATTCAGTGCATTTGAGGTTCTGTCCCTAGCCTGGTTGAGGTTGCAGGGGATTTTCATTGGGTGTTTATCAAGTAGTCATTATATCCCAGGGCAGTGTTAGGATGCCAAACCTGTGAGGTGGAGCACACTTGGCCACTCTCCACTGACACCCTCTCTAGCCTCTTTTCTCCACACTTCCTGGTTCAAAAACCAAAATGTACTAATCAGTAACTTGGGTGGGGGAAATGCAGCAAAAGGGATGACAGTTGCGAATGCTAATTGTGAATGTCACGTGCACTAAGATGTAAGAAAGTGAAGACCTGAAAAAATGAACACCTAAGTTAGTAAACATAACTAAATTGCAAGTAAACACTACCAACTATATATACTGCCACCCTTAGCAGTTTGTAAGAATCTCTAGAAATTTAGTTCCCAGAACTCTGAAAGTGAAATTCTTTCCCATAAATCTGTATATTCCCCAAAAACCCTGAGTTTACTGTCTAAAGGAAATAAAGTCTTATAAAAATTTACATGCATGTGAAAATGATTGATGTAGAATAAACATACCTAGTAAGAGGGATTGTTGGGTGATGATTGAAGGATTATATTCCTCTTTGGTGCATTCTTTTTTATTGCTATGTTTTTTATATTTTAAGTATTAGTCTGCCAACAAAATTCTCTTTGTTTTGGTCCTCCAAATAGTTTTTATTTTTCTACTACTTTCATAGCATTAAATAGCTGATACAATAAAATGTTTCCCATACACTTTCCCCCCTAAAGTAAAAGAACAGTGCTCACCCAGGAGATTGTTTAGGGCCCGCAACTTCTTGAGGCCCAGCCCTATTCTCATTTCATGGGAAATGAAAGTTTTAATAAAAATTTAGTTGTTTTTTTTTTTTTTTACATTGCTTGGTTGTTTAAGTCTTAGCATTTTCTTTTAGAAACTTTGAGATATAGGCTATATATAATTTTGAGAGATAAATATAAGGCTATAGGGTCCCAGACCAGACCAGAAAATTCTAATATATATAGTATACCTACAATATCAACTTTAAAAACCATAGAATTTTAAAAGTATAAATAGCAAGAGGAACATATCAGGGGTCCAAAATGGGAAGCCGGGAGGACATCTCGGCATTCCTGTGACTTGGCAGCTGTGAGGGTGCCCCTGAGAGCCTTCTGTGAACTCCAGGTGCCTGCATACTCTGCCATGACCTGGGAGAGGCCAGGGTAGAAGCAGAGGAGGCAGCAGTTGCAAAGAGGGCCAGTGTGAGGAGAGCACATGGAGCTGAGAGAGAAAGAGGAACATCGGCATTGTCCGTCCCAGCCCCCGTCTTCTTTATTAGACTGAATGTTATCCAAGACCCTCTCTGTCTTCTGTGGCATCTGAGTCTAAATGGTGGTGTGACTGGCCTTGGGAAGTTTAGGAGGCTTTGGGTTACAGGCTGATGGGTTCAGCTGCTTGCCCTGCCCTACTAACCCTTCCCTGGTGAGTGAGAGGACATGCATCTGGAGAAATTCCCCCTCAGTGTTGGAGGCTCCTCCAGAACATTCTGGACCAGACAGTGCATTCCTCTCCACGTGGCTACAGTGAAAAATCTGAGAGAGTACACCTCCCGAGGGACATCTGGCGCCACTGCCATCCATCTGTGGTTGATGGAAACTTTTTATATCGAGACCAGAAAAGCCTACTGGCACATTCTCCTTGCTGTGCTAGTTCTGCCTTCTGTTGGCCACATAACATCAATATAATTTTTTGCATTCTCTTACTTACCCTGGTTACTAGAAAAGGGATGTCAGAGGAACCTTGATTCTATGAGGAATTCACCATTTATACCCTTTCTCTGACATGATGATAAAATCTTCATTATGTATACATGATTGTCGACACAACCCTCAACCTATTTAAATAGAGCAGTTTTTCCAGTAGAAAAATACTAGAATGTGCAGAAGGGAATACTATACAGCAGTGTTTTTACTCTGTTATTCAGATCAAGTATGAAGAAAATTATTTCTCGTTGAAAATGATGCAACTTTTGGTTGTCTTACTTTTGAATTTGGAGTTTATTCACACGATTCAAACTCTATTTGTTTTGGCAAAATTTAGATTGTTATTTTTAAAACGTTTAAAAATATTTATGTCTTGTTCTCAGGAAGACTCATTATTTCCCTGATTTAAACCAGTTTTGCCAGAGTTTATGACTCATGGAAAACTTTGGGTTTTGGTTTCAGGTTTCTCTTAAACAGAATATTTGGAATATTATTTCAGTGCTACTGTAGATACTAATAAATCATAGCATTTTAGTCTTTGAGACTGCTTGTAGTGTCCTCTTTTTATAGCAGAGGAAAGACCAGCACCCCTCTCCTTTCCTGCACTGCCTAACCAGCCACAAGCCTCTTCCAGATGGGGTTTCACCTCATGGGATTTTCAGACTGTAACCTCTCCTCCGAGAGGATTAGGTGAAAGGTTTGATCAGGTTCTCAGGTCTGGAAATGCAGCGCAAGAGTCTTTTCTGAATTTGCGTCAAGTCCATTGCGCAGTCAAGTGTTCCACAAACATAGAATGGAAAAAGTGTGTAAGTCAAATGGTATTTCCTCTGAGTCTGTTAAGGAAAATCAGTCACTGTGCTTTTAAATCCCATGTTTAAAGATCTGTTTGGCAACTTTTCCTCTTGGCATAAATATTCCTATCAGTTCACAAGTACCAGTAGTAGCTTTTGTTATGTCAATAAGATATGACAAGCTCCCAGTACCTCACAGAAGGACTCCAGACAAAATGCAAGAGCAGGAAGACACAGCCTTGTAAATGAGCAGGCAGGTTTAATGTCCAGACATGCATTTGGAAACGTGTCCACAGTACTTTTGGTCATGGAAACTGATATTCTTAAAGGCTATACTTTCCTTAAAGAAGTAATTAACTTTATCTTAGAAGTATAAATAACATCTGCTTATAGAACTTGCTAGCTGCTTTTCCTGTATAGCAATCATGTCCTTTATCAGTTTTAAGTACATCTAGCAACTTAGCTGCTATCTTCAAAAGAAAAAAAAACTACCTCTCCCTTTTTTCACTGTTTCCTACAGTGCCTTAAGAACTTGTGCTTGTAAAGCTGACGTTGTTTGTCTCACAGATCCAGTGCTTGAGTGTTTGTTTTCCTGTTGAAGCTCATGGTCCTAAGAACTGCTGATCCCTCCTTTTTATCAGACCCTCATAGAAAACATCAAAATCAAACTTTAAGCGTTTAGATGCTTTCACATGTGTGGGGGCTTATGATTTATTTTTATTTCTTTCTTTAAAAAGCACTTTATTTTGAGAGAGATATGGGCCCCTTCAGGCTTCTTTGTGACTAAATCATACACCATGTGGACACACTTTTCTGGCAGCCACACCCTTGAATAGAGTAACAACAAAAAATGATATGTTCACTTGGGGTTACAGAGAAGTAGAATGTCAAATATATTGTTTAATTTCCTTTTAATCTAAGATTTAGTAAGAAATTTACTTTGGGAGAGAAACTGAGAAAATTTTGGTGTAAAGTCTGACTTTCTGGCTTTTGTGAGAAGTTCCTAATCTTTCACATTGAATCGAGAGCTAAGTTATTGTTGATAAATATTGTTTCTTGGAATTATAGAGATTTCCATTTTAACACATGTTAAAATGTTAACTCTTCGTTATATAAGAATAAGGAAGGCATTTATCAGGAAAAAACATGAATATTCAAATGTGTCAGTAAAAATGACATTTGAATACCCACCAGAAAATATTATAGTTTTACATTTTGAAAGAAATACTTAGTTTCTTGTATCACCAAAGTTCATTATCATTAACTATTAAGGTAATGTCATTTTCCTGAAAGAACATACTCATGTTTGTTTAAATGATTTTCAAAATAAAGCATGTTAATATTTATGATAATTAATGACAGATTCTCACTTAGCTTATAAAAAGAAAGTCACAACTATATTGAAAATAATACAGCATAGAAGTTACAATAGCTTTAGGCTGATATTTAAATGCTGGTTTTTAAGAAACTATACAGATAAACTTTATAAGCATTTATGTTAGTAAGTCATTTCCCCTTAGTATTATCTGTAAAATAATTATAAATTGGTATATGAAAACATACCTCGTATGAAGAGAGCAAGTCAAGTCAATCCTCTTGAAAGTAGAATTTTCCACCATGTACTGCTTATCTGTAATGGCAGTGCACTAAAGTAGCATTAAAAAAGATGTGAAGGTGTTGTATTTGAAAGAAAACCCCTTCAGCAGAGCCTGGGGTGGCTGCACCCTGGGTGACACTGGAGCAGCTGCTTCCAGATTAGTCCATGTTAGTACTGAGGAGCTAGATTAAAACTTGTTACTGCTCATGTGTTTTCCATCACTGTTTGTATCAGAGCCAAGACTTCTAGCTAAACTCTAGACGTCTACTGGAAGATTCAGAAAAAAAAAGAGAGTTTAATAATGCATGGCAACTAGCCACTGAAAGTACAGCCAAAGTCATTCAAGAAATACCTGATTTGAAAAATACTTGATGAAATTCTCAAGTGAATGAGTACATATAAATTACAAATTCAAAAATCTCTCACCCAACTAGACTAAAACTATTTGTCAATTATAATAAAAAGTATTGATATTATTGAAGGATAAATCCAGATGCACCTTAGAAAGAAAGCATACTCGTGTTCTCTCCTAATGACTGATGCTGTGACATAGTCAAAGTCTACAGATTGTCCTTGACAGCTTTAAGCCCTGCATAGGCCTATCTGGCTTGCTGGAGACCAGGCCATAGCGTCTGCACTATGGTACACACAGGTGATGCCACTTGGAATGCCTTATCAAGAGATACTGGCTGTTACTACCCAATGTTTGCAGACCTTGGGGCAGGAAAAATCATTGTTAACATATCCTTCCCCATTCTCTGCTAAAACAATACCAGCTCCCATAACAGCTAAAATATTATCCTGAGAGGACATTTTTCTGAAACTCTATTTAAAGAAAGACTGACCAGGACAACTTGCCTTCAGTGGGTCCTCCTGATGGAGGCCGGCCTTTGTATACAGCCATTTCCATTGTTGAGCAGAGTCTGCTCTTTCCTGCTGTAAGGAATCTTTTCATTGTTCCGTCTTCCAGAGAAATGGCACACTGCAGAAGCCAGGCAGTGGCAGCCCTAGAGAAAGCTATGCCTCGTGCAGAGCAGCCAGCCCATAAGGCATAGGCCCATTGGACTGGCCCAAGGGAGCTTTGAGTCCTGAGCAGTAGTAGTTCTCTCTCCTGTGTGGTTAGAATGCTCATGTTCCCGTTTACAGTTAAGTTTAGTTCAAAATGTTTATCTGTTACCTTGATGAACTGAGCCATCAGGAAAGTTGAGCTGGATTTTATTGACCTGACTTCCATCAGAGCAGCAAGTGAGAGACGGGAAACCTTAAGTCTGACTTCTTTTTGTTCTGCACAGTGTTTTTGTTTTTAAAGATTTATTTATTTGTGTATACAGAGCTGGGGTACAGGCCAGAGGTACAGGGGTGGCGAGAGGCTTCACCAGAGACAGAGTGGGGAGCAGAACAGGCAGATCGACGAAGTACACTGTTGAGGGGAGCAGCGGGCGGATCAGGAGAGGTCTGCCGTGCCATGTGGGTCAACTCCGGGGCAGGTGGGGATCAAACTCATGCAGAAGTGACTATAGCTTATTAGTGCTGTGCTTTAACCTGCTGCACCACCAGGGAGGGCCCATGGTTTGTTTTTTAACTTATAGCTGAAGTATATACTACAAAAAAATAAAGAAGAAACACATTAAAATAGTACTGCTCTATTACTTTTAACGAACTCAACCCTTAATGGTTGAGATTCCAGATACTGGAATCTTCTCAGGATTTGGGATTCTGGGAGCCTCCTCAGAATCCCCCCAAAAGAAGCCAACCTGACTGGCCACCATACTTATTTTTGAACTTTGTGTAAATGAATCCTACTGGGAATTCTCTTTTATGTTTGGCTCTGTTTTCATTCAACATTAGATTTTTTGAGATCCTTCCATATACTTGTGGTTAGCAATCTTTTGTTCATTCTCATTATTACATTGTTTTCTATTGTATGAATATGCCACAAGTTATACATTTTATATAAATTTGTGTATGCTCCTGGATTAATTCTTCTTTGGAACATTGCAATGAATGTTCAAACATTCTTTAATCTACCATTTGAGACTCATTTGTCTGCATGTTCTTAAAGATTTACTTTATTTGTTTATGCATGCAAGAGCTAGGGTGTAGGCCAGAGGTATAGTGGGTAAGAGTATTCACCAGAGACAGTGGGGAGCAGACTGGGCAGATCCACTGAAATACACTGCTGAGGGGAGCAGTGGGAGAGGCAAAAGCGGTCTGCTGTGCAGTGTGGTTCAGCTCCCTGGCTGGGATTGAACTCCTGCTGCAATGACTAGCAGTAGCTTCATAGCGCTGAGACTTAACCCCTTGTGCCACCAAGGAGGCCCTCCATTTGTTGTTTCTTTTTTCTTTCTGTTTTGTGTATGTGTGTTAAGTAAAATTGTTGTATCCAAAAATTATGAGATTTCAACCTCTCATAAATACACGTGCTTTTTTAAATAAAATAATACTTTATTTTTACATCATTTTGTGCCTTTTTCCATCTCAGTTGTAATCCCCGCAGGCTTCGCATCACCAAATCACCCCTGTGCCATCACCATAGTCCAGTGTACTTCCCCTCCCCACCGTCTTTGTATTTTTGAGACCATTCCCCACTCCAGCCCCGTAAAATGTCTCTGGCATGTAGTTTTCATTATTATAATTTTCTCCCCTGGTCCTTTATGCTCCACTATGAGTGAAACCATCCAGTATTTTTCCTTTTCTTTCTGGCTTATTTCACACATGTGAGTTTTTGCCAGATAGCATGTAACTGGGCAGAGAGGGGCTCCTCCTGTCAGCAAGATGTGTTTCAACCTCTGGACCTGTGCCCTTGCCTATTTGGTATGACCCTCGCTTCTGGTCTGTGAATCTGCATGTTCTTCTAGATTTTCTAACCTTTTCTAGAGATACTGGAAAAACAAAATTTGGATTACATATGCTTTCTCCCCTCCCTGCTTTTAAGTTCTCAACTTGTCTTCCCTCAGCATCTTGCTCTGACCTTTGATCTGAGTGCTTAGGGAAAGAAACAGGCCTTGGAGTATAGTGCTGCATTGCGGGTGGTGTGTTTGATTCCACAGATTGTGTGGCTAGAGGTAATGGCCAGGTTCCAGACCCCCTCCCACAGTCTTAGAGCCATGGGGTGGAGAGCTTTGGCTGACAACTGCAGAGATGGCCAGGTGCACAGATAGACTGCTTGGCAAGAAACTGCACCTTTGCAAGTTGTCATTTCAAACACAATCATGTTCCTCCTCTTCTCCGAAGTTAAAAATGTCTCCCTAAATTAAAAACAAAAAGGAATAATGATGTATTGTGAAGAGAAAAATCTTCTAACTTTGGTTCTTAATTCTTTTTCTACGTGTTTGTTTTCATTGTTTAAATTTTGTTTCATCAGGTTTTGGCCTAAATGATGGGGAATTAGTTTCACTGCATTAAGCAATACCTTTACAAATCACGAATGATTTGCATGTTATTATACTATAAACAAAATAAGTTGCAGAACTGAAAAACTACAATTTTTTTTGTACTGACATTTTCTGAACAAAAACATTGATTACCATAAAAGGATTTTTTTTTTCTATCTCTGAATTTATTTTCTTGTTTCGCTGTCCATTTTTGTACAGTATTTAGTTTCTCCCCTCAGGTGTAATCCCTATAGTTCTCCCACACCACAGCACCCATGATCCATCACCACAGCCCCTTTTGCTCTTCCCTCCCCTGTTTAGACCATGAGACCCCATGGTAAAAAGTAGGGGCTGACACCCCTTCGAATATAGTTCTCACAGCTACCGAACTGGTGTGGGTGCTGTGGAGGAATGCAAGATGTTAAATCCTGAGGAATATACAACATGTTGAAGAAAGTTACGGGCCATTAACTCCTAGGATGTAAGCATATATGTTTTTTATGTATAACGCTGGTTGTATATAATAGACACAAAGTTTTCAGAAAGGAGTGGATGATGATGATTCCATGGGTTTTTTCAGAATATCCAAGGTGTTGCTATGGACTAACAAGCAGATCATAGGACTAGTATGAGTGTACAGCTAAAGCACAGAAGCATGAGGATGGGGCTGGACTAGAGCATACCCAGGAAAAGTCCTGTTTAGGATAATGGAGAAAAGGGGTGGAAAGGCTATCCTGTTTAGGATAATAAGAAAAGCTCTTATGGAAAAATACCAACAATTTCACTAACAAAAACACAGACACACACACAGAGAACAACAGAAAGAAAAAAAAAACAGGACTTGAAAGTTACTGCTGGGAAATTGCCAATGTAATGACTGCTTTAGGCAAAGGTTAACAAAGAAGCTAAAATCAGTAGGTGAAGGGTTGTTAACTAACAAGATACCTAAGTTCTTATCTTTCAGATTATTGAATTGCAAGAGGAATCAAGTTTCAGCATTCTCAGTAACAGGCCTCCTAACAGTTTATGTCAAAAAAGAATTACATGATCACTTACATGGGATTCTTGCCCAAAATGTTTAGTCTAAGTCCAGTCTTGAGGGATCAATCAACAGTAGATCAGGAGGCATGTTACAAAATAACTGGACCCTTCAAAATTAGGAAAGTCTGAAACTTTTGGGCTGGAAATGGTTCTCTAGTGCAGGATCTAATGGTCAGTATGTGAGCTTTAAAGATACCTTGAACGTTTCATACATGCACGCAAGCACAACAACCCCATATATGTACACACCTGTATGTGCCTTTACACACACCCATACATACATGTGCCTGTGCAATACAACAGATTAGGAAGTTGTTTGAACAGTTGGGAAAATTTGGTACTGACTATATGTTAAATAATACTGAAACAACATTAAATTTCTCGGATCCAGTCGTGTGAGAAAGACCTCATGATTATTTACGAAGATGTCCTTGTTCTTAAGAAATGCACTTAAGTGTTGGGGTGACATGTTACAACATATACACGCTGCATTCAAATGATCTGTCCTCTGCAAGTACACATATAATTATGTAGATATGTGTATATGTGGATATGGAGGGAGAGCAAATGAGTGACAGTACTGTTGGCTAATGTAGGGGACGAGCATTTAGATGTTCACTGTATCATTCTTGTAGTTTCTGTATGGCCTTGATAATAATTGCTAAATCAAGCTGTGAAGGAAAGCATTACACTTGCTCTAAGTTAATTTTAACTCTGTTTATCCTTAATGTTTGTGAAATACTTACATACAAAATTTA